TCATCTACGGCGTGCCTCTGTTCACACAGGTCAGGGTCGGGTGGGGAGGTATTTATAGTGGGCCTAGGTGCCTCAGCTTGTCTCTGGTATGTGTAGGTGGCCTGGTTGTGAGACACCTGTGTGCAGTGGTGTTGTTCTGCTGCTGCACCTGTGTGTGTATTTCTAGTGTGATTTAATTTTGTGCTTGTGTGCCTGTTGAAGCACTCTAAATGAATACAGGCACCGGCCTTCTGCCGTCTAACATGAGCCCAGAGGGAGAGTAAACCTTATGTGCATGTGCACCAGTCTTGTCCTGATTTCTCTTTTTCTTCCTTCTGTTGGAGGCAGAGAGAGAGATTCATCATATCTGTGATGGTCTGTCAGCTGGTGATACACTGAAAGGCCATTGCTCTCAAAACAGAACACATCAACGTATATTCACATTTCTGACCAAAACAACTGTAAATTATTTGTTATAATATATTTTTTTCATGTGTAACATGTTGACTCCCCTTTATTCAAACCTAGTTATAGATTAAATGTATATGACAAACAACTGGTCAGCTTTCATCTGTCCTATCTTGCCTTCAGACCTTTTCTCTTATTACACCTCACATTTTTCCCCACCTCTCGCTCTTTCTCTCGTGTTTGGAAGACGAGCTGTGGCATGTTAGGAATTCATACCAGCCAGCATGCACCTTGCAACACATCAGATACAAAGGGAAGAAAGTAAAGAAATGACAGTGGGGAGATGCAGAAAGGAGGTCAGAGAACACTCGCTGCACAGACTGAATCTTGTAGGTTTACTGCTGATAGTCATCCTGTTAGTTACATTTTGGTGTCAGCTCATAGCTCAGTATGTGTCTTGGCATTTGTGAAGCTCACAGATAAAGGTTTTTCTGTGGACCAGCAATGAGAAAACAAACAAACAAACAAAAAAAGACAATAGCACACAGGGTTGACTCGCACACGACTCGACGTCACCCCCTGTAGGTGGCTAAAGGCTGTGTTTGGTTGCTTTACATTGTATAGGATCTGCTCCTTCAAATGTTACCAGCAGGGCTAAATAAACAAGTGAGGTGTTGAGTAGTAGACGGCACTGATTCACTCAGTGGTCAGTACTGATGGGGGCTCAGTCAGTGTGTGTAGTGTTAAGCAGACAGGATGTTCTGCCAGAGATCATGGAGGATTGCCTCTGCTGATGTCCAGGACGTGCAGAGTAGTCTGATTAGTTCCCATTTATATTTTATGTTGATTTTACTTGTTTAAGATTTTAATTCAACATCCTTCACTCTTCAAATGGTTTCCTTTCCATATCCTCATTTTCATCCCTTTTTCTGCCACCCAGTCCCCTTTTTGTCTCCCTCTCTCTTTCCTGTAATGAGCCCCATGTATAATTAAAACACACACCATTCATCTGGGAGGAAGGGAATCTCCTTAATCTCTGTCAACCCACATGTTAGCCTCTGAGGATTTGCCTGCTGTTCGCCCACGCAGACACTTTTCCTGGTTTCATTTGCTGTGTGTCTCGATACTCCTACTGCCGTCCTTCATTGTTTGAGCCCAGCTGTGTCCTGCCGTGTCACATCTAGTCTTGTGAGCATGAATGCAGATGTTTCATCTGTATTTATTAGCTGCACATGAAGAGGGTGGGCTGTGTGTAATTGATGTAGGCAGTTTGTTATAGAGCTAGGTGTAGACTATTTTAGGTAGGCTGGTGGTGGGTCTGTCATTCTCTCACCCCTGCCTGCTTCTCAGAAACTTTGGTCTGTTCTACTACATCAAACATTTTAGTTCATGTGAAATTAAATCAGCTTTTTTTAAGATGAAGGTGTTGATGTCTCTTTTCAGTTCCTCATTTTATTGTAGTTCCATTTTTGGGCACTGGGAACAAGTCTGTGCTTTGCACTACAGTCTGTGTGTCATGGTATGTTTCTTTGGCAGAGGAGGCTGACACACCTCTGTGTGTTTGTGTAATTTGTGGATGGGCCAGAGCATGCCTCGCACTCAGTGTGCAGTGAACAAAAGTAGTCCTGAAGCTGATAGTTTCAATATTTTCTGTTTAGCCTGTATCCTCTACGACCACTCTATTGGGGGAAAATGACTTGCTTAATAACGATTGCTTTGTCATTATGCATGCCATCTTATGCATTAGAGTTACAAAGCAGCTCTCTGACAAGCCATTGCCTAACAGAATATGTATTTCATCTAGCCTAGAGGCACTAACTCTAATTTGGAGCATCAGATTCTTTATTTCCAGGGTTAAAGCCAGTTCAGCTTGAGAGCTAAGTTGATTAACATCTCTTGTGTAAACCATCTGGACTAACATCTGTTCATCGAGGCCTCCATCAGCTGCAGTATAACTTTTTTTCTGACATCAGCAACAGCTATGTACTCAACCCTCCAGATATGCTACCATTTATTTATGATGTACATTACTTCAGAGGGCTTTCTGATGAAATCTAAATTTTGTTTTGGACAGGCCTCATAGCAGTGCAGAATGCTCTGGTCCTCTCTCTGATCCAGTTCTTTTTAGCTTGTACATCTTAATTTGTAATTGTGTAAAACATAATAAAGCAATGGCCAAATACAAGTATTCAACTGTGTAGACACCCATTTTCTCCGTGCTGTCTGCTGTCACTGCAACACAAATAAGCTGCGATGTGGGAAATTTTGTAAAGAAGAAGTGCTAAACACAGGAAAACCTCTTAGACTAAATCCACATTTGTCTTCACTTCTCCTTCACTGGACCAGAGGTTGAGTTTAGCGCCTGCAGCGCTGAGTGCACCTGTCTGTGCACTGGCTGCTGCTGTGAAACGTCCTTCACCGGTAGCTTTGTTCTCACACCGTACTTGGTGTTGACTGTTAAGATTGACAAATGTGTTGTTTCTGCCCCTCTATGTGTGTGTGTTTTTGCTGTTACCAAGTAAGAGGTGAGGACACACACACACACACACACAGAGCTGGCAGCAGTAGTGTAAACAGTGGGCTGTGCTGTATCCATAATGAAACATTGTGGAATGTGCCGGGCTTCTGTGTCCAGAGGGGAGACTCTGCTCTGAAACTCAAGTCAGCTGGCATGTTAGCCATGCTAACCATGCTAACCATGCTAATGCTAAGGTCCAAGTGGATCTGGTATTGATGTGGCTCTGCTTCTGCTGTGTCTCCTCTCTGTCTGGGAAACATTGCAGTAAGACTACCACAGCACTGATGATGCTAAGGCGTATATCCATTTTCAGGCTAATTTAGTGTTTTGACAAAATCTTACTTAAAGATTACATTTAATGTAACATGTAAAAGTGAACGTGAATTATGAGTAACCTAGGCAGAGAAGGAGGGACTGACTCTACCTTTATATCCCTTTGTGATACCACTCCCTTAGTTGGGCAAGGCTGTGTTGATAAGAGCTTTGCTTGCTCTCAGCCTTGCTCACTTCACTATGGCACGAGCTCCTTTCTCTGTTATAATGTGCCACAGTTGGACCGCTTCCTCCTCAGAGACTGTTTTCAGTGGGTCGTCATTCACGTGAGTAGCATCTCTTTCTTCAGTGGCCATTCCGTTTTCACCCCTTCTTTCCCTTCTGTACCCTCACCCTCTACTGTCAGTTGCACCCTCTTCTCCTCCCTTCCTCATTTCTTGGTGCCTTGCTGATGGTAGAGTTAAGAAAAGCAGTTCCTGCCTGGCAGACAATCTGTTTTGGTTCCCCTCTAACTCCACCACCACTTCTTTCTCTGTAGTGTCTCTGTTTTCTCTTCATGTTATTGAGTGTAAGTGCTTGTCTCTTTCTAGAGGTAGTTCTCATCTCCATGTTACTTTAGCTGTGGTTTTCATCATTCTTGACCAAGTGTTTATTTTGGGAAGGAAATATGCAGGTTGCAGTATTATTAGTCGTACTTATAGAATATTACAGTCGGGTGCAGTTTGAGTCCTTCTCAGTAGGCTTTTTATTGCTAAGGAGAGTTACTTGAGTCTCACAGTACATTTGCTGTTTCTAACTGTGGTTTATTTTCTCTGAGCTTTTTTGCTAGTTTACTAACTCAATATTAGCAACACAAATGTCTATAATTGCTTGTAATATGTCGGTATAATGGGAAATGCCTCATTAAGTATAAACATTAACTATATACAAATGCTTAATTTATTTTGGTTTTTGGGGGTTTTTGTATGTTAATGGAAGATGTACCTTTAGTAAAAACTGTGGTGTCTTGTAAAATTGTGAAATACTGCAAGCGAAACTAAACCTTGTGGTGGTGAGTGAGCTAAAATAAGCCTCAAGTCTTCAGTAATATAGTCTGTGCTCTGTATTAAATCCCCTTTAGTGTTACATGTCCTTCTACCTGCTAGTTAAGACTGCTAAACTGGTAGTTAGTCTGCACTCCTCTCAAAATACCAAAGAACACAGAGATGGTAGGTGCTGGCATATCTGAGCATGTATACCTAGCTGTAGACTTGACAGCAGCTCTTAGGTTTAAGACATGTCAAGGCTGCAGGCAGACGAGGGTCAATGAATAACCAGAGGAGTGGCTATGACACTTGGCATGATTCAACTTTTATAACTCCACATCTCCTGATGTCTGCTAACATGGGGTTTTGACCAATTGTGAAAGAAGGTGTAATTATCGGTGTCATTGTGTGAATGTGAGTCAGACTGCTGATGTGTTCCCAGACGTTTTGCAGCACTAAATACAAGATACACAGTAGTGAATCCTATTGAAGGAAGGCAAGGGTGGTTAGATAATTTATAGTGCATAATTTCAGGATACAGTGAAGTTTATCAATCAATTCAATAACCTATTCAGAGTGTAGGCCTATGTTTAAGTTAACACAGTAAGATAAATACCTGAAGATGAAGTTAATTGATGTAAAAATTGCCACAAAGCTCATTGCTCATTAATTTGCAAAGATTTTACAGGGATAGGAATCAGCAGAAATGGTCAACACACTATATATTCATATCGCCCATCCATATCTGAGAGTCTAATAATACCTGTGATGATAAAAGTTGTTTTGTGTTTCTGTAGATGCTTTGTTGGCGGACCTTGAGTCCACAACGTCCTACATTTCCAAGCATCCTCTCTTCTTATCTGACGAGACCACCTGCTCCTTACCTGTCGGGGGCGAGACCCATCAAGACATCAGCTCTCCACCACAGGAGCTACCCACGCCCTCTGGGCAAACTCTGAACGGGCTTGATGAAAGAGAGGTAAACGCAAACTGTATATGTCCTGGGCATGCTACGAAAAAAATAATCATCCGCAAAAAAGACTTTTTTTTTCCCCATAAAGGACTGTTTATATGAATTAGGTGCTTCGTTTATGAATGGTCCTCTACATCCTCTGCTGTGATTAAAACCTCTCTTCCTCTCTTCAGCCATTCAGCTCAGCTGAGAAAAGTCCCTGGTCTAGAGACATCATTAGTCCAAGCCAACCCACTGGTGAAGAGGACCACGTGTACAGGTAGGACTCACAATAGAGCCCTTTGGTAACATAGTTAAGTTCACTTGGTTTATGGCTATAAACAACCTCTCCCACATTTTGCCAGTGGAAGTAATTACATTAAAACTGGGAACAAAGTCTTTTCTAGCATTTGGACATGTAAGAATAGAAATCCCCATTTTGACTCATTGGTTAGCCCGGAACACTGTGCAAATGATGCCTGTTTCAGAATATAGCAGCGTTGTGACGATAGACCTCGCATCTTCTTTCTAACCTGTGCAGTTTTCCTAATAAGCAGAAGAGTAGTGAGTCATCAGCTCTTGCCATGAACTCATCTTTTGGCAACAACCTGTCTGAGCTGGACCGCCTGTTGTTGGAGCTCAACGCTGTCCAACAAAGCACCCCTGCCTTCCCCACAGAAGGTACACGCACAGAGATCACACTCTTTTATGCTTCTCTAAAACAACTTGGATGTAAGTATCTAAATTTTGCACCTCTGTTTTTTGTGGTATGGCAATAAGCATGTCTCTTTTTTCTGTCCCCAGCACTTTTTTTAAAATGATAAACCATGTTTGTACAGTATGTAGAGATTCATTTAGCTTATTTTTTTTGTAACAGAAGAGGCAGCTCCACCAGTGCCTGCCAGCAGCGTCATTCACGGCGTCAAGGAGAATGGAGTCTCCACTGCAGGCAAGGCTGCTGCACCGGGGAAGCCCAAATACAGCACTGTAGTTCGAGGAGTAGAGGATGTACGACCAAGTGTTGAGACACTTCTAAATGAGCTGGAAAGTTCTGTGCCTTTAACCAAGTAAGAAACAAATTATCACAGAAATGATACTAATATATGAGAATGTTCAAATTAAAGTTACATAAAGTCACTTTGATATATGCGGTTTGGTATTTCTTGTTTAATGTACAAATCCAGTTATTTATTGAGTGTGATGTTTTCATCTTTAGTCCCACACCCTTGGTGGTGACAGAGGGACACACAGACGGACGAGAGGAAACACCAGCACAGCAGCAAGCCAGAATGTCTGCCTCCTCTGCCACACGAGAACTAGATGAGCTGATGGCCTCCCTGTCTGACTTCAAAGTCCAAAGCAATGTGAGTGTGGTTCACATGAGAGTACAGTTTGGCTTTCTGCAGTTTGTACACTCGATTTGAGGTTATTTTTGTTGTTGCGTGACTATTTAAAGCAGATGCTCTGTTGTTTCACATCTTCAACTTGAAACATCAGCTGTTGAAATGTTACAATAGCGTGACAGTGGTGGCTGGAGCCCTTTCTGTTGCCACAACCTTTGTTTGTTCCAACAAGGCTATGTTCACATTACAGGCCTTAATGCTCAATTCCAATATTTCTGCTAATGGTTCACATTCATGTTTGTAAGTGACATGTCCAAGTCCGTGTGAACACTGACGAGGTCCTAAGCTGCCATGCAAGTGCTGATTTAACTGACATGTGAGCCGCGTACACACAAGAAGAATGTAATTTGTGTGACAGTCAAATCCCCCAGTTTCCTCAAAAACCATTCGGTTATGATATGTTCCTTCCACCTTGGCTTGTTTCGAAACTTGTTCATAAATGTCCAACAAACTTGAAACATCCTCATCCCTCCACTGACCCCGTCACTGTTGTTACTCTCCTCCATGTTTAATTTTCCCCACCTGACCCTGAATGATGATGACAGGCAGTATGCGCAGAGAAGTGAAGCTGTATCCACATTATCCTGGGAACACGGCTTTTGCGCATGCCTCGTCATTGTGTATGTGTGCTGTGCACCACAGAAGTCTACGCAGAGCCAGCACAGTGCACCACCGCAGTGGCAGAATCTGAGATGGGATTTGAATCAGACCTAGGACCTACATGTGCAAGTGGGGCAGATCTGATTTGTTCACAAATCCATGAAAACATCAAACCTGAGTCACTTGTAGGGGAAAAAATTGGATTTGGACCACTTCAGAATGTAATGCGAACGTAGCCCTAGAGAACCAGTCGGTAATGGACACCCAGCCTTCAATTTAAAGGTTACATTAAGTTGTTAACAGACTTGACTAAAGAAATCCCGCACCAGATATCATTTAAGTTTGGTTATGCTTCGTTTGGATGACTGATAAATGTGGGCTTTACACAGCCAGAACAACATCTGTACAGTATAATGCATTCAGGTCTCATTTTCCATTAAACCCTACATATGAATAAATATCAATGTGTGGTTACAGTTCCCAGTTTTGTTGAGACTGTGTCTAAGAAGAAGTGCTCAGATCCATTGCCCTAATAATAGCTGAGGTTGGAGGTGATTGTGTCCGGCCACTGCATGTCTGAGGGCAACAATCGAGACTTAATGTATTAAAAAAAACTAAAATTAAGTTTATTTTTTATTTATTTTATGTAAAACATCAAGACAGTTGAATAGGCTCTGCCTCTGCTTGGCTTCTCAATCTATTTTTCCTGGTTTCTTTCTTTTCTCTACCACTGTGTGTGTCTTGTCTTTGTGTGTGCGTTGTGATCGTTACATCACTGCTCCTGGTTCAGTCTGGCTCTCAGTTGTCTATAAATCAGCAGGGAGCAGACCCTTCAATAGTAGCTGGTTCACCCATTGTCCAGGCAGTATCTGACCCATCTATAAATTCAGCCGATCCTCCACTACTTTCGAAGAAGGGTGTTCAACTCCTACTACTCCAGCTGGTACCACTGTTGTCGTCGCATCATCCCAGTATTCACTGATCCAACAGAAACATGATGGTGGAAGTGTCACTTCTCAGATCTCTCAAGTGGAGAGCCTCAGTATTTCTGATACCCAGAAGCCTTTTGGTGAACCTGAAGTCAGCAGCTCTGCACAGATGTCAGTTGCTGAAGTCACTACTAGTAAAGTTTCATCTCCAGTTGGGAAGAATTTAAGCCCAGTTAGTGTGGGTAGTTCTAGTCCAGGTCCGGCTGCACAGATCTCCAGTGTGGTCCTTGTTTCCAAGAGCCCTAGTGCTGTTAACCCCAGTCCCATTCTTAGTACCAAGAGTTCTAGCCCACCTGATCTTAAATGCCTAAGTCTGCCGGTCAAGAGTCCAAGCCCAGTTCCCATTGGTCCTAGTCCAGAAGCAGCTGCAAAGACTGAAAGCCCAGTGACAGTACCAAAGACTGCTAGTCCAGTCAGAGTTCCAGGTCTTTCAGAACCAAAAAGTGCAAGTCCTGTAACAGTCCCCAATATCTGTGCTACAGTAACCATCCCAAAGAGTACTAGCCCAGAAACAGTTCCCAAGACTGCTAGTGAAGTGCTAATACTTTCAAGTCCAGTTCCAAAGATTTCAAGTCCTGTGACAGGCCCTACTATCTTTAGCTCACCAACTTTACCCAAGACTTGTAGCCCTGCACAAGTTCCAACTTCCCCTGTAACACTCCCAAAATTTTCAAGTCCAGTAACCACTCCAAAGAGTGAATCGGTACTTCTTAAGAGTCATGCTTTAGCCATTAAAAAAACCTACAAAGTTCCAGGTGGCAGCAGCCCCACAGCCTCACCAGTTTCACTTGACGCTGTACCATCAAATACCCTGTCTCCCCCTCCGACAGAGAAACAGGGTGCTGGCGTACTGGGTATAACATGGCCATGTCGGGAGCCTGTATTAGATGATGCTTTAGACAAACTGTTAGCCCCCGTCCAACCGGTTGAGAACCAGGCTCCTGTTTCTGTTAAGTGCGGAGATGAAGACCAGCTTTGGGAAGGGGAAGATGGAATTTACCCTGATCTCAGCCAAGAGGAAGCCCTGACACTCATGATGGAGTCCAGCTGGATGGATGAGTGTCTCGACCCCTCCACCTGCCTCGGGACACCTGATGCAAACCTGGAGCTGCCTATACAGCAGCCCTCCGCTGTAGAGCGACTGTCTGCTTCTGGCCAAGTAGGAGGCTAAACTTGACTCTCCCAAAATAAGTTGATGGCATAAAGCTAGACTGGCCTTAGAAGCCCATTGTTGTTTCTCTTGATATGAATTGTCTGTGACAGTAATGGCAGAATGGCTGTGTCAGAGTATATCCTTAGTTGCTGAAACATGCTTATTTTGGGAGAGAAGTTCCTATGAATACTTTAGGAGCTGTGCAATAGTACAGACTCTGTCTTGAAAAGACATTCCTCTTTCTGTTTGCTGTGATGCATGTGGGTGTCATTGCATAGTAGTTACAAAACGACTTGAGGGGGATGTTTCCCTGGAGAGAATATTTGTGGCTGATGTTGAAAGCTTTGCTGTAAGGATGTCACTGCATGCCCCTACTTGCTCCAGTCAACATTGCCGTGTTAGTCAGTGGGCCTGGCCTGTCATGTTTACGCAACCAACAAATGATGCAAACATGTAATGACTGTGACAAGATGACTTCACATAGCAGAAATTTTTAATTTATGCTAACACAAATGCTCAAGAACATGCACGTATAATCAGAAACGTATATGAACTTTGCATCTTTGATCTCTGGGCTTGCTTTGGCATGTGTGGACCTTTATGAAAGCGTTCGTGATAGACCTGCATTGTCTTAGCTTCAGCTACCCAGCATGCCTCACCACAGGCACCTGAATAGTTTTAAGTAGACTTGACGGACTTGAACAGAAGGCTGTGCTTCTGCAAGCAAAACTGATCACTATGTCAGCGCCTGACAAAAACTGCTTGAGCAGTTTTGCTACTTGAACAAAACATCTGGGCCGGGCCTGTTCAGCTTGTGTGCATAACCCACCACGGAGTCTGTGGTGAATGGCACATTCCCAGCTTCCCACACTTCCTTATTATCTATTCTCCAGCTCAAGTCAGTTATCCACCGTACCAAAGAGACCTCCAATGTGCATCCAATGTACAGGGAGGGAGTGTTGCGTCGTAAAATGGGACCGATCATTATCAATAAGAACAACTCGCAAGACCGACTCATTGAGGAGCTGCAGGGGAAACTGGGGATTGGGCGACTGGAGCGCCGACGTAAACAGCCTGATGACTGGCTGACGGAGGGAGTCATCATTACATCCAACCCACAGCGAACACGGGAAGAAGGGGTACAGCCATCTGTGGATAAGGTAGACTTTAGAGGCACACAGCAGGAGTATGGTGGGCCATTCTTGGGCCATGTTAAACCAACCTTTTGATGGTTTAATGTGAGTTTGGCCTGTGGTTAAGGAATTAACTGGCAAATATTAAATATCTCATCATATTGTCATAAAAATGTCATTTTTTGGCATTCGCTTCAGTTCATTGAACCAGTTTTGTTTCCATCACTGTTCCTTTTCTTCATTCTGACCTTGTTTTTTGTATTTTGTGTTTGCTCTTTTCTTTGTGCTGTTTTCTGTCCTCCTTTCCTCCAGATCATCATCATCCCTCCTGAATCACCTACCCCACAGAGAAAAATTCTACCCCCTCCTCAGTCTCCCACAACCCCCAAAAAGCCACAGCCAGTCAAGCATACTCCTCCACCCCAAGGTCCTTGTATCAGTGGGGTGTCAGACGGAGTATGACCCCGTCTTCCCAGCAATGCAGGCACGGTTCACCTTTCTTCATCTCTCCCTCTCCTCTTCTCTGATCTTCTATTCTCCACTTTCTCTCACACTTGAATAGTCTGATTCCCTTGTCTGGTTGATACTGTGACTTTGAGCTGTTTGACTTGAGCATTATTTAGTCCAAATCCAAGCAGTTGCACATCTATATATGTGTGAGCTACATAATTTGTCTGGTCATGATCTCTGTTTTTGACCTCTGGTGTTTATTCATGCCGAGCTGCAATAGGTATCCCCTTTAAAGCGCTCTCTGAAATCCAGTCAGCCCAGGTGATGAGAGCTGCTGACATTCAGGCTAGTGAGACTGAGCCCATTTTCTAATTCTGACATCTGATGGCGCCAAGAGCTGTGTGTTCAGAGTGAAGTGGAGACTTTAGCAGCTTAGAGGCAAGCACTTTGTAACCCCTCATGTACCCATCACACTAACTGTCCTGCATTGCGCAGGAAGGGAAAGCTTGCAGTGCCACTGAAACCTAATCTGCCACATGACAGCACAGTTACCAACACAATTATAACATCCTCCACAAGACTTCCGTCAACGGGTCCCACCAGGTTAGATACCAGCATGTCCTTGTTGAATGACATTGAATCAATCAGTCAAGTTATTTGTATAGCACCTTTGGTACAGGTTCATTTACTTCAAAGTGGTTTACATATGACTGACAAGCTGATATGAAGAAAAATGAACAGTAAAAATAATTTGAGACTACCTTCATAAAGGAGGGATTACTAAAGTACTGTTGGATTAGGACTGCATTAGTTTTAGCTAGATGTACCTAATAAACTGCCAACTGAGTATATATAGATTATGCAAGTTCCATCCTGGTTATTTTATATGGCAAAAGGTAAGGTGGGTCATTTTTGTGCGTGTATGCATGTGCGTCAGTGTGCGCAAGAAAGTGAATACACGCAGCAGAGCAGCTATTTTCTCTCTCAGTGGAATGTGATAGTCATGAAGCTCTGGTAAACACACCACCTGACCAGCTCTGTGTTTGCTTAGTTAGATGCACATTCAGTCATCATCAAACCCCGCAAACATAATCAAAATTTACTTTGTCATGGTTATGTCCTTTAGACAGGACGTACCACCACCTATGTTCACTGGTGTCTTGTAGGGGAGTGAGTGCATGTGTCTACTTTTCAACTTGTAAACAATATTCAATTTTTAAATCCTTCAGCAAAAGACTGCCATATTAGTGTTTAAATCATATGGTCTGTATTGACTGTAGACATAAGCAGGTCTTTTTTGTCAGTGCAGTGTGGTTGTATTGCCAGTTGGATCTTCATAAACACACATACTTACCAGCCACTTTATTAGGTACACCTGTACAATTGTATGCAATTAAATGCATCACGTCCGTCTTAACATTTGTGTTTATGAAGCTCAAAATGTTTGTTTTTGGTGAAATTGACATAAATGTATAAATTCAACGATACATTTATTATTGAGGACATAGTTAAAGGTGGTGTTGTACTGGACTGCAGCATATGTAGAGCTGTCTCCATATTTTTGTCCTCCCCAGCTACATACATGAGAGGGTCAGAATATTAGGAAGTGTTGCGTTGAATTGAATACAATTGTACAGGTGCAAGAGGTAGAGTGGGTTGTCTCCTAACCGGAAGATTAACGGTTCAATTCCCGGCTTGTCCAGTTCATATGTCGAAGTGTCCTTGAGCAAGACACTGAACCCCCAGTTGCTCCCAGTGATATCACTGGTGCGTGAATGTGTGTGTGTTTGGGAGTGTGAATGGGTGAATGGCCCAATAGTGTGACAGCGCTTTGAGCGTGCTGCAATGCATCAAAAAGCACTATACAAGTATAAGACCATTTAAAGTGGCCAGTGAGTGTATATCACATAGATGCAGGATATTTCCATTGTGAGAATGTGAAACTACATTTGGTGAACTGGCAGCAGTTTATTAAGAGAACATGTCTGTCTGTCAGATCCAGTCCCAGGGAAAGGCTTCTCCCGTCGCCCCTTCGAAACCAGCCAACAAGCTGGACAACATGCTGGGAAGTCTGCAGTCAGACCTAAACAGACTCGGAGTCCAGACTGTGGCTAAGGGCGTCTGTGGAGCCTGCAAGAAACCAATTGTCGGACAGGTGATGATAATACAGAAGCACACACATACAAGTCAGCTGGTACACATGCTACATAAGAACTTGCTTTTCAGTGTGCACATATGATTTGTGTGGCAAAATTCATATATTATGTTGTAGATAAAACACAAGTTGATCATAGCTTAGAATTCCCTGCTGGAGTATAAAAGATAATCCCAGCTGTTTTCATTGTTAATAATGTGGTGAAGAGAATATTGCATGCTTGTAGATTTATTTTCCCATGGGGTGTCCAGTGTTGGCTCAGTGACTTGTGACATTTAAATATGCTGCTCTTTGTAAAATGTCATTTGAAAAGCTGCAATGATCTTCTCTGCTGAGCCAGGCCTTTCGCTTAACAGATTATTTTAGTTTAATGCACTGTGTTTCCCGATACACAGGTGGTAACTGCCATGGGCAGAACGTGGCACCCCGAGCACTTCGTGTGCACCCATTGCCAGGAGGAGATAGGCTCCAGGAACTTCTTTGAGCGTGACGGGCAGCCTTTCTGTGAGAAAGACTACCACAGCCTGTTCTCGCCACGATGCCACTACTGTAATGGACCTATACTGGATGTGAGGAATGCATACATTGTCACACACACAAACTAGCATGTACTAATCGGATGGGTGGATAATGATGTTTACAGTATTTATTCATAACTTAATGGATTAAGACCTCATTGGAAAAATCATTACATGTTACACACACACACACACACAGACAGTGCCAGACGTATTGGAAGGTAAGTAGATAGTGGACAGTGGACTTTAGTCTGGGGAAAGGGCAACATGAGCCACTGACAAGGCTTCCTAATTCATCCTTGTGTACACACACAAACACACAGCTGATCATTCACTTCGTTCTTTAGTAAGTCATCTTTGAATTCCCAGTGGTTATAGTGATTAGGTTTGGTGAAGCCAAGCTCTGTATATAGTGATTTTGTATGCTCTATCTCTATCCACCAGTACAGATAATAAGTGTTTTTGTTAAAATTGCTCTTGCCTCAAAAATCCTCTCTTACCTCAATGCACCCCCTGGTGGCAAAACTGAGAATGATTTGCACACTCAAATATTAGTTTACAATGAGTAGCACTTGTCCTTTTGTAGAAGTATAACAGTTGTGGGTGATTTAAAATCTTGTTCTCCATGGACATGAGTGTATTTCCATCTGAAGCTGCTGAGAAAGGCCATCAGAAAACATGAGCCAACAGTCACAGCATTCCAGCACCTCCCACACCGGCTCTCTGAGGAATTTGCCTGCCCTCTTCTGGCCTCTGAACGACAGACATAAATGCTTATATGTTGACTAACTTCTAGAGTAGCATGAGAAATCACATCAATGGGTCACACCTTAAGAAGATGTCCATTTGCTTCTCTTTTGTTTCACAGAAAGTAGTGACTGCTTTGGACAAGACTTGGCATCCAGAGCACTTCTTCTGTGCCCAGTGTGGAGCCTTCTTTGGACCTGAAGGTACCAGCTGCGCATCACTTAATGTCACTACAGTACACCTGGCATATCTGGAAAAAGAGCAGTGTTGAATTTTGATTGTCAAAAGAATACCAAGTTGTGTCTTTGCTGCCCTCCAGGCTTCCATGAGAAGAATGGAAAGGCGTTCTGCAGAAAAGACTACTTTGACATGTTTGCCCCTAAATGTGGTGGATGTGCCCGTGCCATCTTGGAGAACTACATCTCTGCTCTTAACGCTCTCTGGCACCCTGAATGCTTTGTCTGCAGGGTGAGTCACTCGACATAACCTGTGATAAATGTGTCCAATGTGACAATGCATTGTTATTAATTCCACCCGTTCTCTTCTGATTTTCTAGGAGTGCTTCACGCCATTTATAAATGGCAGCTTCTTTGACCACGACGGCCAGCCGTACTGCGAGTCGCACTATCACGAGCGGCGTGGCTCGCTCTGCTCTGGCTGCCAGAAGCCCATCACTGGCCGCTGCATCACAGCCATGAACAAGAAGTTCCACCCAGAGCACTTTGTGTGCGCTTTCTGCCTAAAGCAGCTTAACAAAGGCACCTTCAAGGAGCAGAATGACAAGCCCTACTGCCACGTCTGCTTTGTTAAACTCTTCAGTTAGACCACGTGTCTGTGTGTGAACCCAGTTGTTTTCTAAATGCATGTGTGGACCTGTGCGCACTCACATGTCTAGCATGTACAAGTCAGTTTTTAAGACAGAGGGCGTTAATGCAGTGGTGGATGACATCATAAAAATGGTGAGAAATGTTGCTGACCTTTGACCCCTGATACTGTCCAACTTCTCAGGCTCAGCATTTTACACTTTTGCTAAAGACATTTTTAACATAGCCCAAAGAGATTTTTATTTGGAGTTTTATTCCAGTGTGCAGCAAAGAAAAGATGCTGATTTCCCCTTGTGTGTAAACATATATAAACATATGAGAGTCGAGTTAAGACTTCCTCACATACCTGATTTGTAAATGATTTTATCTCCCCATTGCAGGGCAAGACCTTGCATTACATGGTGGTGAGTCTATGTTGAAATAAATATATGCAGATGTGGCACAGCTGCTTGATTGCATGGACCATGGAGAGTTGACTTAAGCAGTTTTAAAATGTGATGAGTGTTGAATATCTAGTGCTTGTCCAATAGGCGTAAGCTATATAGAAAGATGTATTTTTCTAGCTTTGGAAACAGTTGCAGTGCCATTGAACATTAAAAACTCTGTGTGTACATGCACACAGACACACTTCACTTCTTTAAAATACCAGTTCAAACTCTTTGCACACTCCAATCACAGGTCTCTTGATGAGACCATCTTAAGGTACATTTTAGTATCCTCAAGATATTTGTTAATTTTCTACCGTCTGAATAAACAAAATTAACCAGGATGTTTTGTCAGTTTTAGCATTGAATACATGATTTCCCATCAGAAGTGGAATAATTTTTCATGTAGCAACTTGGAAATCTGTTTTTAACTTTACTACTGCAAAGTTTGTATCATTTAAATCAATCATTTCAGATTATTATTACTAATTACCAAAAGCAGGTCAGTAGGAATTGTGCTCTGTGGTTATTAATGTTGAACTCTTGGTGCAGTTTTGATAAAACAAATCAAAAAGGTTTTTAAAAGTGCCAATTTTACTGCTCTAATTACATGTATCACGGACTATTGAGATTTTTTAAAGCATAAATGATGGTTCGGTTTAGCATTTCCTGTATTCTACTCTTGCTACTCTTGTGAAATTATCACAGTTTTAAATCTATTAATAAGGCAAATTCAGGATTTAAAATGTGGTTGTGCATCTGGATTGTGAATTTTTGTTTTATCGGCACTAGCTGCCAGTTGCTGTTACAGTCAGAATCTAAATTTATATACCCATGACAGGACTGTGTTTTGTCAGTTTTGATGAAAAAATATATATATTTTTTGAGCTGCTTGGGCTCACACTGATATGCAAAGAGCTGGCTCTATTGGCATGCACACTAACATTAGTTTACCTTCTTCACACACCAGCTCCCAGAAAAAAGCAGCTCTCAGAATTTTGTAGTCAATCAAACTACGATCCTGCTGTCTGAGTCAGTATCGGTGTTTTGCTCACTGACAGGGGCTGCACGTTAGCATTAGCTGGTCAGAAATCCAAATACATCAAAACAAAATTTGTTATGAATAATTTCAACTTTATTTTACTTGTAGCTCTGTTTTGCCAGATAGGGAGTGTGTGATTTTCTTTTTCTGTTTGGACAATATTGCTCGTCTTTAATTTTGATCACGATGTGTGCAAGAACTTAATACACTGTATACAGATTCAGATTGTTTTTATTTTGACAAGATATTTCTCGTGCCCTTGTGCCAAATGTGTCAATGCAATAAGGTCTTATACACTGTGGAGTTCTCAACCTTTCCTGTGGTCGGACACTTTCCGGGCTGAACTCTGGGAGTGGCTTCATCTGCTGTGGTGCATCTTAACTCCAAAACTTACACTGTAATAGACAGCCCAATGAGAAGCCCTCTGTCTAGAGTCATTTAGGAGACAGTATAGTGAACAGCTGTAGCATATTCTAATTTACAGGATGTAGCGGGGGGAATATCGGTGTTGGAAAGACATTTGCGCCTTGATTTAAACTGTGTATGTCTATGGAAGTAAACAGGAATTTAGTTAATTTTTCCCATGTACATTTATCTTTGCTTTTGTCAAAGATTGCATGAAAAAAAAACAAACAAAACAAAGCCTTTTATCGTTAATGAGATTAAGTGAACTTTGCATTGTAAATGAAACATTCGTGGGATCTTTTACCATTTGTATTTTCTTATGAGCCATGGAGTTTACCGGCTTTGTGTGGGTGGGGTGTTAAGCCTATGTGGCTTTTGATTACTGGCTAATTATTCTAACTGCTGCAAATAAAATACTTTATTTCTGGCATTTTGTTTTGTGTCACTTCTGTGCTTTTACTGTTTACACATACTGTTATTCAGTGTTTCACATTAAATCAGATCTTTGGCACAAAATATTAGAACAGACTGAGTGGAAATAAGTTTTGGGTTTCTTTTTCCAGCAAAATGCTTATAAAATAATTTTAGCTATGAGCATTATAAATGTACAAAAGCTGTTAGATTTGCCTGAGTCTGATGCACAATACAAGACTAGCTCCACACTAGCAGCATGTTAGGTTCATTTTACAAAAAGATAAAACAAAAAACTCTGAAATGTATATAATGTCTCAAAATGTTAAAAGGTGTCATAATAAAGTGCATTTCACATATTTATCAAATGGGAACAAGACAGTCAATATATAGAATTTGCAGCAGTGGTTCTCAACCTTTTTTGCTCATGACCCCTTAAAACAGATGCTTACTTGATCAAGCAAACATTCAAGGAAAGTCTGAAAACCTAACAATTTTGTATAACAGATGTTCTTTCCACTTTTCTCATCAGCCCCTGCTCCCTTATATTTAGTTTATGATCCCCTTGTCAGGGGTTAACCCCCAGACTGGGAATCACATACATATGTGGTGTATGGCAATGCACTACACATATATGACCAAGTTAGGGAATAAAACAACTACATGGTAAAAGCTCAGTGAGCGCTGAGTGACTGTCGAGCCTGTAGATTTGGTTTAAGTAAACGCATATTCAAATATTTTGTAAATCAAAACAGCCATTCTTTTGATCCTTACATGTTCTTCGCTCTTCAAACCAATCTGTCCATGTGGCCTGCTAAAAGACTAATTCAGAACACCTGACCAACACAGGGACAACAAATCACATCTCTTCGGCAGGGAGAGGTCCCACACTGAACTCTGTAGTTTGTGAGCACCTGGAGTTTGCCTGTAAGCTCAGAGAGATGTGGTTGGCTATCCAGAACCTCCAAGTATTCCAGGTCCTGCAGCTGATGAAGCTGTAAGAAATCTTTCTCTGGTACATTTTCAAGACGAAGTTTGAGACTTTTGAGCTCTGGAAATAGTTGTGGGATTTGAGAGGTGTGAGCTCCCAAATGTGAAGGCCAGGGGTCTATGTGAAGGTGGAGGAGATTTGGTACCTGTACTGCTACAGCTGCCATCTCCTCTGAGGACAACCCTGCAACACACAGTGTGAGACTGGTTGCTGTGGCTGGAATGGAAGTGACATAATTCTTAACAGGTGGGCCCTTCACAATGACAAGGGTTTCCAGAAGAGGTAGGTCACTCAGCCATGACTTCAGGTGACACACTGCTGATGGAATCTCCTGATGTGAATGCCTGTAGAAAAGGGCAAGACTCTTCAGTCCAGGCATCAGGCTCACTGCATTTTCTGGTAATGACTCATCCGTGCAGTCAATAAGCTCCAAACTGGACAGGACTGGGGTCCCAGCTTGTCCACCTGGGTTGGGTCTGGCAATACTGTTAAAGACATGCTGCCTGTGCACAGCAGACAACGAGAGATGCTTCAGCTTAGGCAGGCACTTAAGTATGGAATGAACCATTACAGTGGTTTCTCCAGAGATTCCCATGTGATGACAGACCAGAGTTGTAAGATTTGGAAACTGGGAGACAGCAGAAATCAGACTATCCATTGTTATAGTCCTCAATGTAACATCACACAGGCTAAGGTGAGTCAACCGCTGGGGTTGAGATGTGGTGAAAGCTTCTAGAGAAAGAGAAATGCGACTGTTTCTTATAGCCAAACGCTTTAATTGTAGGAAGTCCTTTAAGCAGTCGAAAGTCTTATCGGAGCTTTGGTCCATTACCACCGTGGTGAGAGTAGGGAGGGACTGGGCCAGATCTTTCCAGTACTTAGCTTTGCTGTTCCTCAACACCACACTAGTGACTTTTCTGCGGCGAAGAGTGGCCCAGAAATGACTGTTGTACGAGCCATTTTTAAAAGTCAGAACTACTGCACAGTCTCTCCAGAGAGACCAGTGGTCGACAAGTTTTTTGAAATACTTGCAGACTGTCCGGACACTGAACTTGTCTGCCGCTGACAGATAGCCAAACACGTGGGTCCAGACCTCTGACGGAAGCTGTGCAGCCTGTACCATTGTGTTTGCTCTGTATTAGCTAGTTGTCTCTCACCGATGAAACCCCGTGTGTTATTGCCTCTGTTCACAAGGCAGATATTTCTAATACTACACCTTTCTCTTTAAGTTAATATTGAAACTTCTTCTTCTTGGAACTGGTTTTCTTCTTCTTCTTTTTCTTCTTATTGGCAGCTGACAGAGCTTTTGGTGAACTACCGCCACCTTCTGAATCGGAGTGTAGGCCTGACTATATTTTTCTATCAAGTTCTGTTTTTCCAAAAGAAGAAAAAAATATTGATAATACTCTATACAGCGCATAACCGTAGCACATTATTGGTAGGTTTTACAATGGATGCATTACGGTCGCTCTCATCGAGGAACTGCAGTGATTGACACTGCAGCCATCCAATTGCGGTGAAACTGACGCCCGTAACGCCACTGTGATTGGTCACTTATCTGGTATATATTGTTCATACGTCTTTCCTTTTCCCTCTTTCTTTCACGCGACCCTTGTGTGTCTGGTGAGAATGTGTTCACGTTGTTTTATTAAACAGAAAAAATGGCTATCTAGAAAAATTATACAATATAGGATTTTAATTTTCATGAGATAAACGCCTGTAGCACTTATGGATGTGTATTTCGTGTCTAATAAAAAGTGTGATCGTGCGACTTGACGAAGTACGGCCTGTTAAATTATTGCTAGCTCACAGTCGGCTAACGTTAGCGCTCGACCACATGTCAGGGTGTGCTATGCTGTTTGAATAGTTCTGTTTTTTAAAATGTTTTCTAACTTTTTCATTCTTTTCAGATCCTACCTTGTCTTTAAACCAGCTGTTAAGCGATCCTTGGAAGCACTGCAAAGATGCCCAGGGAAGACAGGGCCACGTGGAAGTCCAACTATTTTTTGAAAATCATCGTAAGTATGAAATGGCACGCCAGGTTTGTGTTTACACATAGTCACTGTAGGTTTATACGTCAAATATTATGTTTCTTTATCTGTTCTACGTCCTCTGTATTTGTAGCAACTTTTGGATGACTATCCAAAATGCTTCATTGTGGGGGCAGACAATGTGGGCTCCAAGCAGATGCAGACCATCCGTCTGTCTCTGCGTGGAAAGGCCGTGGTGCTTATGGGTAAAAACACCATGATGCGCAAAGCTATCCGTGGCCACCTGGAGAACAATCCTGCCCTGGAGAAGTGAGTTTTCAGTTCTTCTGCTTTTACTGCCATGAGCCATTGCTTTTTACATAGCAGGATTGTTACAGTGCAGCTTGTGTGGTGCTGTGTTGTCGTTCCCCCTGCATACAGAAATCTGTTTCCAGCTATCCCTGTCTGTCCAAATCCCCTGCCAACCAGGGACGCACGGTCTCAGACACTTGAACCTTTGGCTTAGTGAAAATGATGCTCTGATCTGCTGTGATATCTAACAGTTGATCCCATCATTTTACAGGCTTCTGCCTCATATTAAAGGAAATGTGGGCTTTGTCTTCACCAAGGAGGATTTGGCTGAGGTCAGGGACCTGCTGCTGGCCAACAAGGTAAGAGCCCTAAAGAGAAACCTGACTGTAAAAGAGACTTCACTCAATGGCTAATTTCTGTCAGAACAATCCGGACCTGGTATCCCCTCAGATATTGACTGGTGCCTTATTTGCATGTGAAAGAAATTAAATAGATGAATAATGTATAAAATGTCCAAGGTACCTATGGTACAATCAGCTTTTTACACCAGCATATTACAGCACATTTAACTGTAGACCACACACACTCGCAGGCCAGTTTTAGGTACATCTGGGTAAAACTAATGCAGTTTAATTATATGAATTTTGTGTTAATAATGGAATTGGTTTTGATACACATAGATTGGACAAAACATGTTTCAGATAATCCCACCAACTTCATCACAAGCTAAAGCCTCTAAAAGGACTGCTTAAAAGTTCTTAAAATACAAACTGCTGTCCAGGTTCCTAGGTCAAAAAATGACAAAAGGTTTGAAATTTTTTTGTTGAAAAGAAACAAGCATGGCAGTTGTACACGTATACAAACAGGGTTTATATTTACTGGATTAAAAGTTGGATGGTTTACTTGCTAGTTGGTGATTAGTGCTAGCAAATGACTTTTGAAGGTATGAGAAAGTCATGTGGATGCCATCAGCAACATAACAGGAGGAACCTAGCTGATTGGTAACAGTTCAACATCAGAATCAGAACTCAAACGTTGTCAGCGTGCAGGATTAGTTACAATGCAGCTTTGTGTGGTGCTGTATTGTCGTTCCCCCTGCAAACAGTAACCTGTTTCCTCGCTATCCCTGTCTGTCAACTCCCATTGACTGCCAGGGACGCATGGTTTCAGACATTAAATCAAAACTTTGTGTCAAGTCATGACATCAATGTTTAAACCTGCCATTTTAAAATGCATTCATCCTTAGCAAGTGCACTAAAATGTTGCCCTCAATACTCCAGGTGCCAGCAGCTGCCCGTGCTGGAGCCATTGCCCCCTGTGATGTGACTGTGCCTGCCCAGAACACTGGTCTGGGTCCTGAGAAGACCTCATTCTTCCAGGCTCTGGGCATCACCACAAAGATCTCCAGGGGAACCATTGAAATCTTGGTGAGTTTGTAAACATACCACTGGCTTTGGGATCCGTTTACTTGACACCTAGAAATAGCTGTCATGTTGTATATAAAAAGTAATGCCCCAGACCCATTCAGTGAACCACAGGATATTAAACCAAACGTGTATCACGATGTTTGCATCAGTAACTAATCGGCCTTACTCTTCAATCCAGAGCGATGTCAGTTTGATCAAGACTGGTGACAAGGTTGGTGCCAGCGAGGCCACCCTGCTCAACATGCTGAACATCTCGCCCTTCTCCTACGGGCTCATCATTCAGCAGGTGTATGATAACGGCAGTGTTTACAGCCCAGAGGTGCTTGACATAACGGAGGCATCTCTGCATGCTAGGTTCCTGGAGGTGAGATGCAGTGCATTTCTAAAGAAATGGGTCTTGTCACTAAATGATTAAGATCTCCCGTTGGTCGTGTTTACTTTGGAAGATGATCCAAACTGTAAATTAATGATGATAAAACCTATTTCTTTAGGGTGTGAGGAACATCGCTAGTGTTTGTCTGGAGATTGGCTACCCCACTTTGGCCTCTGTTCCCCACTCCATCATCGATGGCTACAAGAGAGTCCTGGCTGTCGCTGTGGAAACAGACTACTCCTTTCCCCTGGCAGACAAGGTAATGATACTTTATGCTTAACTAGTAAACTATGCTGTTAGTTACCCTGCAGGATAGGTTTTGATGTAGCCTGTGTAGTGCTGCGTTGTTGATCACCCTGCAAAGAGTAACATGTTTCATTCTATCCCTGTCTGTTTCAGTTTCAAGTCAGTCAGGGGCGCTTGGTTTCAGACAAGTGTATTCAAATGCATTAATTTGTGTCTGATCAATTTTTATTTATTTATTTTTTTGTACAAGTAGGAAATCACTTGGTTTGGGTGGAAAACTAACGTTATACCTTCTGTCATCACAGGTCAAAGCCTTCCTGGCTGACCCATCTGCTTTTGCTGCTATTGCAGCACCTGTAGTAGCCGCTGAGACTGCTGCAGCTCCAGCTGCTGCTAAGGAAGAGGTCAAGGAGGAGTCTGAGGAATCAGATGATGACATGGGCTTTGGTCTGTTTGACTAAGACACCAAACAGAACCTGATTTGAGTCAAATAAAACCATGATTCAGTAAAAAAAAATCCTGTTTTGTGTGAATGTCCAATATGGCTGAGTTTTTATGGTCACTAAAACTTAACTAATGGTAAATTTGACGTATAGGGTTTTGCCTGTTAAACATCTCCAATTGAGCTGAAAAAAAACCTTAGAAAAAAATCAACTGGACTTAGATTTCTAGATCGAAGACGTTTCACCTCTCATCCAAGAGGCTTCATCAGTTCTGACTGACTGGTGTTAAGCTGGAGACAGAACGGCTCCGGTGTCTCCGGCTCAACACCAGTCAGTCAGAACTGATGAAGCCTCTTGGATGAGAGGTGAAACGTCTTCGATCTAGAAATCTAAGTCCAGTTGATTTTTTTCTAAGGTTTTTTTTTTTCCAGTTTACTATGACCTGGATGACTGAGAATCTGCACAGACTTCTCCAATTGAGACATTTTATATTCAAATGAGATCTGAATTCAAGGTTATTTGAATCTTAATGTTTTCCTGGCTGGGGTTTCCCCTTTTTGAGACTGGATGTACTTTAAACCACTACAGACTTGATGTTTAGACCTGTCAGTTTTCAAAATTGAAAAGCCAATTTTCAATACTAAAGGGAACGAAATGTAAATGTAGTAAATAGCACTATAGAAAAGCTGCATTATATGCATCTACAGATGACAATTCATGTTTTAATTCAGTAGTTTACAGAATATAATTATCTTTCTCTTTTCTGTGGAGCTGTTGCTGCAGTTGTATCACAGATTTACCTTTATATATTGTAAGGATTACTGGTTTTAACTGAGGCTGTGCAGCATTAAAACTGCAGCTTGAAATTTACTGTGAAAACTCCACCATTCTTTAAATGATTTGATGGACTTCCAGTAACGCTCATGTTGAGTTTATGGGCCTATATGTGGTGGATGAACGTGAAGAAGTATATCGTGTCCTTGAACCGCATGTAGTTTCAAAGCTGGTGGGGGTTGACTGTCGAAAGAACAAAAATACCCTTGAGCTCTGTGCAAAAGGCACCTTTATTCTGAAAATTGTCCCGGAAGTCGGGCTGATTGAGCTGGGTTCTGGGAACGCAGAGGAAACGTCAACTATGGCTGAGGTAAGGTTTATATAAGATTTGTTAGTTTTAAAAGACTGACCTGTAATCTAGTGCCTAAATGTCACAAAACGTTTACCGCGTTTTGTTGATTTTAAGTGTTGATAATATCACCGTCCTTTCCAATGGCTTTGATGTGTCAGCGAACGTAAGCTAACGTGGTATTGGCTAGCTAACTGGCCTTATTTTAACCTGGTGAAACATTGAGATAACATCTTTTTATTTTTCCCCAAGTGACATGGCCAAGAGGGCAGTACAAGATTGTCCAGTGAATTGTTACAACAGTAAACAATACAAATAAACCAAAACAGCTGACACGCACTATAGCTACAATGTGATACCCCATAGCATACGCGGTTAGTACTATTTATTTTTGTGTAGTGTCACCATCACATAAGTGATTGCCATTGGATTCGGATATTACAAGCAAACTCAGATGTCGTGTGAGAGATTAGCTTGATAACGTTGTATGCGAGTTAGGAAAGTTCTGGTTTCCCTCGGCGTGTCAGCTAGCTTCATAGGGGGCGCTACTGCCTCAGCCTTTCAGAGAGATGCATACGTTTTGATTTCATTGTGCAGACCCACAGCTTACAGGACCTCCAACAGCCTGCGGTCTCCTCCAAGGTGTTTCTCCAGAGAGACTACAGTTCAGGAACCATTTGCAAGTTCCAGACCAAGTTCCCCTCTGAACTTGAGTCAAAGGTCTGTACAGTGTTTACATGGCTCAAATGATTGTTCACCCAGTATTTAAAGATCATGCATTTAAGCTGTTTTTATGTTTTCAGCTTGATAAGCAGCAGTTTGAGGAGACCATCCAGACTCTGAACAATTTGTATGCTGAGGCAGAGAAAGTTGGAGGAAAGTCTTACTTGGAAGGCTGCCTGGCTTGTCTAACTGCTTATACAATCTTTCTCTGTATGGAGACACAGTATGAAAAGGTAAAACCGCTTCAGTGTTGAACTGTGTATATAATCGGCTGATTACTGGTGTGTTGTGCAGATCTACGTAGATATCCCTGTACATGTTATCGTTGAATGCAGCTCTCATGATCTGCTTCTTTCTCTGCAGGTGTTAAAGAAGATTGCCCGATACATTAAAGACCAGAATGAGAAGATATATGCTCCCAGGGGCCTGCTGCTGACTGACCCCATAGAAAGAGGCCTCAGAGTTGTATCCTTTTGTCTGATTGTCATACAAATTTAATTATAAAAAGGGCCTACCAAAAGTGATAGTCAGTATAGTAACCTATACAACACATGTGTAAAGAGTAAGTGTATGAGTGTGTTTTTGTTTTTTTTGTGGTTCGAATGGGTTCGACTAAGGTCTGTGGTTAACATAAGGCCAGTACGTTTTAATGTTTTGTTCTAAAACATAAAATAGTATACTTCTCGTGAATTAATCGGCTTTTTAAAGACACATAAAGGCATATTAACAACTGGCTAAATGAGATTTTAGGATGTTGGGGATATTAACTGCCATCACACTGAACACTGAGACTCATTTACTCACTAGGTTGCCTTTACAGCTTCGTTGTATTTAAACTCGTACACTTGCAAACTGTTCTGACACCAGCTAGATCAGGTGCACTAAATCAAACTTCAAGTTGGAAGCCGTGGTGGTGACCTTGAAGTCATGAGACAGTGGTGTAGTTAGTTTATAGCCTAACTATCTTTTTACGTCTGGCGATTGTATTTGGGCTTCAAACATCATAAAAGTGATCATCTGTGGAGATTGTCTGAACAAAGCGCATCTGTGTCATAATCAGTTGTTTGTCACAGAGCTTATTTTCCACAATAATCCAGAAGTCTATGGAAAAATCCCATTGGCTGTTTATTGAGGGAACCAGGGTGATGCTAACTTTTGGGTTGCCGTACAAACATGTCATCCTTACGACACTCTGTGACTTATCTCCACCTTAGCCACAATTAAGAATCAGGCCTGTAGTAAAGTGCCGGCATGTAAACTGTGAAGTTGTATAGGGGTACAATAAAGCTTACTTTTAGCTTGTAAATATTTCCACCTTAATAGCTGGTCAGGGTATTCTTGGACAGTTTAAATTATGCCTAATTTTCCACACCAATTCCAACTAAACTGGTGTCGACAGCCAGGAAACACAATACAGTGTCTCCATAATTTAGGTAATACATTTAAACATACTATATCTGATGCAACATTGTGTATACTAAACAATGAAGATTGCTCTTAATTATATTAGAAAATGTGCATGTAGCATTGCACATTTTCCTGAACTTACTATCCTCTAGGTTGAAATCACCATATTTGAAGACAGAAGTATTGGATCTGGAAGATAAAGAAACTTGGGGTATGCCACTCAGATGCACATTTAGTGAAGAGTCAGCATCACTGGAAACATTCTAGGAGCTTCAATGTGACATTCTTGCTCTTAAAATGATAAATCAGAATTTTGTGATTTTCCCAAACTCAGGCATAATACTTGTCTTTTAGCTGTAGTCAAACTCATCTCTGACCATGTAATTCCATCAATTCATGATTACTGAAAATTACTTACCTGGACATAAATTTTGCCTGAACACTACAAACATAACTGGCTTTAAACCTTGTTTTTATGATTTGTCCATTTTCTCTCAAGTCTTTGTATAGGCTGATAACTCGCATACCATCTGTCTGGCAGAACATATTCAGATGTCTGCTTCATCTGAGGGGATGTATATATTTGATCTGATTATTTTCTGTTATTTATAAGTCTTCTACTGTCTGTTTTTATGTTTTAAAATGTGTTTTCATGTCTTTTTATACATGAAGTGATGTACAGTCCAGGCTGTAGGTATTTGGACAGTTAACTCTTTTCTTCTTCAGGCACTGCGCTTCAGCTCAATTTGAAATAATGTGGTCATCTCTACATTAAAGTGCTAAGTCCCAGATTTAATTTGAATAGATTTACATTAATTGATTTAGAAAGGTGTGTGTGTGTGTGTGAGAGAGAGAGAGCAACAAAAATGCATAAATGACTTGCAGTTGATTGAGAGTTACCACCTGTAATATATCCAACGAGCTGGTAAACTGGAGAGCCCAAGTCTAGAAGGTGACCAGGAAAAGCATTCGCATTGTGAAGAATAGCTCTTTATGACTGCATGTCAAGTCAAGAGTGCTTTCTAGGATGTAGGTGTGCACGTTTTCTCATCAGTGATCAAAAGATGACTTCATGGCCACAACCTGATAGGATTCACCACAAGATGCAGGATGCACATTGGCCTTTTTGTTGATTTTACTGTAGCAACATGACTACAGTGGTACACAGGAGCATTCAGTGGCGCTTGGATCCAGAACATATGGCCACTGCAACCTAAAAGCAGGGCATAGGTTTACATCTTTGAGCAGATGCATATCTACTCTTCCCACTTGAATGGAATATACATTATTTTATTTCAAATTGAATGTGAGAGCCTGGTGTCCTAGTTGATCAAGACTGGCCTTTATGAATAGTGCCATTGTGTTAAGTGTCACTTCTTAATCATGAGTATTTAGACTTGTAAGTCAAATGTGCTTTCACCAAAAATTGTCATAGATATAAAATAGATTGTGGCTAAGTGTTTGGCGTAGTCTTTAAACAGTGATTGTTAGGGATAGTGCTCCACAGTATTAACATGCCAGCTGTAGCCTTTGTCAAGGCAAATTTTTTCTTATCTGTGCATGAATTTGACATTGGGGGCGGGGGGCTGCTGTGTGAAACAAACATTGGAAGTTCTGAACTGGAGACTTCACAGATGGAGCCTGTTTAAATGTAATAGGTCTGTCACTAAATAATAACACGACAGAGGGCATTTTGAGAAGTGTCAGTCTAGTGCAACTGCTTTAAATCTCCCTAACCATATTCAACAGTCCTGCTATGTTTGTCATCAGATTTATTGCCTGTATTGCAAATGATGTCCATCTTTTTATCACCACAAAAACCTTAAACACTCTAAACAGATGTTTACTGTAGTTGGTGTTTGATACAGCTAGCCTACCTTTTAAAAAAATAATGTTCTATTTAAATAAATAGTCTTTTCTTAAAATCTGCAGTGCTCCTTGTTTTGAAAGTGTTTTTTTCACTGTAGTATTACCTCAAGGTAAAGATCAGTCTAACTTGCACCATTCACTGAAATAAGCCTTGGTGGTCACGGATAAAACGAGGCTTTGTGACGCACTCAGTCAAGCAGTAACGTTGAAAATGGTTCGTTGTTTCGAACTATTTCACACAGTCAAAAATGGCGACATCTGCTGGCCAAACTTTTGATAATGCATTTGTATGCGTGAAGCAATCTAAGGATATGATGAAACAGTCAGAATATATAGTAAAATAGAATTTAAAAGTAACCATGAAAGGATGGAGAAGCGCGCTCTCCAACAGGAGGTCACGGGCTTTATCGCCGGGCCGGGACGCGCTTACAAAGGCAGGATCTACAAACTGCTCCAAATTAGTCGGCTCTGTTGCAGGTCTCACAAGGTACATAGACACTCCGCGATGCTTGCTTTCTGTGTAAAACGCTCCAGTCTTAGTTGTACAGGTAGAGCTTCTTTTCTCCGTTAGTTTTGTTTTACAAATTGACAAAACATTTGGCCCCATACAGTTTAAGTCAAAATGGCATTGAATCACTGAACTGCACGTACAACCTTTTGTTACCTTACAATTTACTCTCGAAAGTTTTGCAGGCAATATTGATGACTTGTCTTTTTAGCTATGTTATGTAGAAACAAATATTGTGGTCTATAGTGAAAACGTGAAACATTGCTAAAATACACTAACAGACACTCATGGTGATTTAACATACAGCAGATGTGGGCACTTAATTTTATTGTAATATCCCAAACATAAACTAAATGCTCAGGGTAAGTAAGTGTCGTTTTGTTCCAGTGAACATCTGCGTGAAGTTGGCCCCCCACCCAACGCAAAATAAAGCCAGAATGGTGTCATCCGTTTGTGCTTCGTTTGTGCTGGTTTGTGCTGCAAAAAGTTTCGTTTGTGCTGTTACGGTATTTGAGATATTAAACAATACCTTTAGGGGTCATCCACAGGCCACTCAGCCCCCCAGATAGCTCCAAATTGGACAAAAGTGGTGTCGTTCGTTTGTGCTGCAAAAAGTTTCGTTTGTGCTGTTACGGTATTTGAGATATTAAACAATACCTTTAGGGGTCATCCACAGGCCACTCAGCCCCCCAGATAGCTCCAAATTGGACAAAATTGGTGTCGTTCGTTTGTGCTGGTTTGTGCTGCAAAAACTTTCGTTTGTGCTGTTCCGTTATTTGAGATATTAAACAATATATTTAGGGGTCATCCACAGGTCACTCAGCCCCCCAGATAGCTCCAAATTGGACAAAAGTGGTGTCATTCGTTTGTGCTGGTTTGTGCTGCAAAAAGTTTCGTTTGTGCTGTTGCAGCATTTGAGATATTACAGCTGTGCGAAAGATGGGGGGTCAACTTAAAGATGATGATACAAGTCCAACGTTCACATTCACCCATCCGCAGTGGAGGAAAACAAATGGTCACGTGGTTTTCGGCATGGTGAAGTCAAGGCATCAAAATATCTTCCCGCGATACTTCTGTGTTAAGAGGTCCGTACTACTGTATATTCGTTTTTGGCAATGTATGCAGTAGTGTTCTTCGAGCATAACATCACTAGCTGCTTAATAGACAACAGCGGAAAGCCCGTTTAAATTTTTGGAAATATTAGCTAAAGGTAACGTCTGGTAGACTGGCAGTTGCCACACGTAAGCTACGTTCACTAAACTGCTAAGCTAGCTCAATTTTTAACGCTTGGTTGAAGGAACGAAACGACCCTAGCTAGCTAAGCTTTTTGCTCTAACAGCTAACGTCACTTACCGTTAGCTTTAATGTTAGTTAACATAATGCTCAATATCGTTAATTTGGCTGGCGTTAACCTTTCTAACCCTAATTACTAGGTAACGTTACACGCCATAGTAATTTTTGGCATACAACAAACTGATTCTAACGTTTTAAGATAACTTGTTGACTGTGTCAGTACTAATTTTACTTCACACACTGTCAACAAGACCCGTTCTACTCCGTCAACCCTGGCGTTTCCTTGTTTCGATGGGATTTATTTACCAAAGCAAGAAAATACATTCTTGCATCATGTCATGGATGAACTGGAAACATACCAAAAGAAGAGCAACCGCAAGAGGTACTGTAACGTTACGACCATGCAGAAAACAGTAGAGTTGGTCAGTTCAACATTTGTATTGTTTAGCCCTGTGGCCAGTGCTGTGTTTTGTTCTTAAGAACCCGTTCACCCAGTCCCATTTTAAATCGCACCATCTTCATGAAGTCGTACAAACATGTGACTATCTGGGGACTTGGTTGGACAATTTAATTAATTAAAGAATACACTTGACATTAAAGCCTCAATGTCTTTTGTGTCCCTGTCCAGTGTGCTCCTGTTCCCTCCACTACCCAGCAGACTGCGATACTTGATTCACAAAGCCACAGAGGACCTGCCAGAGTTCACTACATTCTCAGTAGGAGAGAATGGGCATCGTAGGGTGGTGGTCTGCCATTCTGAACTCAGGTACAGAACAAAATGATATGCACAGCGTTTGCCGAACGTAAAGTGAAGTGTTTATGTATTTAGAAACTGATATTTTTAAACAAGTTTGATCAGATTGAATGTCAGGGTTTTAACACAAATGTGGGTTTTCTTTTTGTTTGTTTGTTTTTTGTAGGAATGAGAGAGAAGACGACAGTAGCCTAGAGAAAAACAGCTTGTGTGAAGATCCTGTAAGAAGTAGGGAGCCCGGTTCCTCGGTCCAGCAGCAAAGCCGAAGACCAAAAAGACCGGACAAACCCCTTTTCACACCTCGAGCTGTTCGTGAGAGGATGTCCTTACAAAACCCACAAGGACCCACAGCATACAAAGAGCTGTCAAATTTAGCTTCTAGTAGCTGTACTTGCCCCAGAGGTTCATCTGACTCTTGTTTCTCTCATGAAACTACCAAATTCACAAGCTCCTCATCCACATCCAGCCAGGAATCTGTCCCCAGTGTAGCGAGCGGTATTCTCAACCATATTGCAGAGAGTTCAGTATGTCCTCCCGAGGAGGAGTTGGAGCTGAGGCTGCATGATGCTGAGACCTTGGTTTGGGACCAGGCTTTGTCTTCTTTTGCTGACATGACTCTGGCGGACTATGAGAAGGACAAGGAAAACCTGGCCAGTGGCCCATATTGCACCCAGACAGAAGACAATAGCACAGATCTGGATGTTGTAAGTGAGGTGAGTAAGCATATAATTAATTTTGATAGTGTTATTGTTTTTCTATTTCTTTATTTTTGTACAGATTCTCACCAATATACAGATTATTATTGTCTTCTATCACTAGTGTTTTTATTGCTCAGTACCTAGTGTTTTTAGATTAAAATATTACATTAACCTCTTTCATGTAGAGGCCACATTAGCACTATAAATTGTAACCAGTTATTTTGTACATGTCCTGTCAGATTAAGGTGCATCTGAAAGACACAGTGTCTTTTTCCATTGAACACGTCCACAATGACTTCTCTATTTATGAGAATGTGTGCATCAACCCTGATGAGTTTCGTCACGTCATTGAAATCTATGACTTCCCATCTATGCTTAAAACAGATGACATCCTGGATGCTTTCACAGAGTACAGGTACGAGCACAGTTTTTACATCTCGGCTTGTCTACACAACTGTTGCATCTTAGTCCCATTTAGTCAGTCTTTAGGAAGAGAAACTTGTTTTTCTATTGTGTTCAACTTAACAACTTATTAACAGCTTAACAGTATTTGATCCAGCCAAAACTGTATAATTGACATTTACTGAAACTGCTTACTTGTATTGTCTTAGTGATGGAGGAATGAAGATCAAGTGGGTGGACAACACACACGCCCTGGGGGTTTTCTCCAGTGAGTCAGCAGGTATGAGCATACTCATGTGGGCTGGAGGATTCCAAATAGTGTACGACTGAAAATGTACTAACATATCGCTGTTTACTATGTCATTTGAAGCACTCCATGCCCTCTCCATCTGCCACCCACTGTTGAAGGTACGGCCATTGGCAAAAGGGAGTAAAAAATCCAAAGGCAAGGCTATGAGACGAGCAGGTAGGCGAATCACTTATTTGAGACTTGAGGCTGCTTGGAAAATAGATATCTCCAAAATCACAGTGACGTTATCTTGGCTAGTAATACAATAAAAAAATGTAGTTAATATCTAGTAGCTCTTCAGTGGCATATAATCTTTAATCTGGGAATAGATTTTAATATTGGATAATCAGGTGGCTGTTTGTGCTGTCCTCCAGAGTTTATCCAGCCAGTGAAAGAACGTCCCAGGACAGACTGTGCTGCTGCCAGGCGGATGGTGACCAGAGCATTGGGGCTGCAAGGACGTGGACAAGTGCAGCGATACTAAGGAGAACTGCTTTTACACTACTGGCACATACAGGTGAGCAGACTAACAAAGTTCTCAGGTTTTGAACAGGTATAGTGATTACTGAGGAGGCAGTGGAAATTAATTCTTTTTTTGACCTGAAAGTGTGCCACTGTGGCTCTGGTTTTCTTGTAGACAGGAAATAACTGGACATGCTTTAAGACTGGGCCAGCATGTTAGGGTTCTTGTCACATTTGCCTGAGTAACAGTGTTATGTATAGTTCTAACCACCATGGTGGTCTGATTGCTAGTGATGAGAACATCAACACAAAACCATATAAATTGGTATCTGCATTCATTGTTTTTATTTCAATCTATGTAATGCTTTCCATATTCTTTCATGCATATCAGTAAAACAGGCAGTAACTAACAAGCACCCTTATAAAATGGTCTTTGTAATATGCTACATCAAAAATTCTTTTTTTACAAAACAGTCTTTCACATACATTTTTGGCTTTTACAGTACATCCATAATATTATAGTCCCTGATTGATGGTAATTTAACAGCACTCATTCAGAATTAAGCTGAGGGGAAAGGCAAATCATGAAGAAACGTGTGTATGCTATTGCAACTAAAGTAATGAATAAATAAAACATTTTCAAAAGTGAGTTCAAATATGTAGAACACACAACCCTGGAGAAAAAAAAAGTCCATCTCAGCTTAATTCTGACTTTAGTTTAAAACTGAAAATCTTTAGTGTGAGAATTACTGCAGGAAACACATCCAAGCAACTGTTGGCATAAATAATGCACATCTACTATATTCGCACCTGAGTAGCTCTGACAGTGCAAAAATGAATCCGACTTTGAATTGCAGTTTCGAGTTGCCATAGATTGTAGCATGTTGCTTTGCAGTAATTGTCAAAACACAAAACACAAACTGCAATTGATTTCATTATCTTGTTAGTCTTATCTGATACTGTAGACGCAAGTGTGATTTATACATTGACTCTTCGGGAAAACATAACAGTGCAAGATTCAGACAATTTGTAGCACCAGATTTAAGTAGTAGAATATTTTAATCCATCCCAAGCGAACTCATCATGAGGGTAATGGTCTCATCTATGGGTTTTGGTTGAAGGCTTTCCCCAGACACTTGAAATGCTGTCTGAGAACGCAAACTGTCTAATACAACAAATTAATGTATTTGGCTGCAATCCTGCCTGACATCTCTCCCCGTAGGTGCCCGGTCAAAACCTAATTTTACTGACAAAGGCAAGAGACAATAAGATTAAAAAAAAAAAAAATCCTTGTACAGCTAAATGTGGCTTATAAATTTTGTAAGCAAGCAGTTTTATCACAGAGTCATCATCCATTGTACCAGGTGAATCCTGAGCTCAACAACAATCCAGCACTGCTCCAAGGAAGGCAAAAGAGTACAGCTCCCTCTAGTGGTTGTCAAATATGTGTTTCCCTGATGTCTGTCAGTGTTGTCCATCCCAGGGTCTACCTGTGTGAAAGCTGGTTGGTCAGCAGTCCAGGGAACATTTCCTCTGCTTCTGAACTCATTGAGCCACCTATGAAATAAGACAGGGAGTGTCTCAGCAAGAGATGAGCAGTATTCAAAATAAAACAAAACTAATCCAATGTTGAAGCTTCTGGTCAAAGTCAAATCTAAACTTATTAATATACCAGTGTTTTAGATGTGATAAAATGACACCATCAAAACACCGATGTCACAACTAGAGAAACATTTCATTTGTGATTGATACGTGACAGTGGAGTGTCCTCATAATTAGGTTATTCAACTTTTGTCTAACATTTGGAAACGTTTTACTTTGTACAATGTTATGATCTGACGGTCTGTTTTCCACAGAACAGTCCATCAGAAGTCTGCCTCCATTCACTGAAGAAGCCACAATGGCCACAAGTCTCTGGTCATCAACTGCAGCAGGCCCATGTTGTAAAGAGGGAAACTTACAGAGCTGACTGTCCCATGTCACCAACACTGGCCCTGCTGAAGTGTCCTCAAGTATGACACTGAATCACCACCAGCGTCAGCCGTTGTTCTGTAGCTCAACCTGTCATTGTGTTGTTCCTGTTGTCACTAATAAGGCATTGACATAAGTCTAATGTAGACTGTGGGTACATCCCATATCTGTTATAGGTTCGTTCCTATGTCCAGGACATAACCTGGACTTGACTGCATGCTACCTGGAAACTTAAAGTACATTTCAAGGTTGCTTAATTTCCAGTCAGGAGGTGAATCCCAATTCCACTAATTGCATCTATGTTTCCCCTCACTTGTCTTCTTCCTTGTGCACTCGTGTATCCCTGGTTTTAGCTCCTCTAGGCAGCCTACTTGCTCCTTAAAGCAGAAACGAGAGCTTTTGGACATCCTTCATCATGGTGGACCGGAACAACTTTGAGTCAAGTGAGGACAGAGGAACAATAAACTAAGGGAATTGGGATTCACCTAGGGTGATGCTAGATTGGTTGTACAAGCCTGTACATAGTAATTATTTATTAGCTTGTTGTCAAATTCCTGCACAGATTTTCAGGATCTGGTTCTATTCCACTGTGTGCTGTAGTTACCGACAGATTTACATGCAGATTTTTAAATGGAGTGCACAACTCCCAACAGTTAAAAGTAATGTACTGTCAATCCATTAACTGAAGCAATTCTGTTTGGGGGAAAAAACATTTTGGTTAAGTTCTTAGACAAACAAACCTGGGTTATTTTGAGAGTTCAAGTTGTTTTTCTCTGTCGATTTAATAAGTTCTTGATTAAAGTTTAACTCCAATCTTCTGTAACAGGTTGAATTTGTATGTCATTTTAAATTTGAATTTTACTTTTCTGAAAGTGGTATTAATGCAGCCCGAGTTTCTACATTTTGTTTAACATACAGAATTAGAATTACCAAGTAATGGCCTTACCTGTACGGCAGTTGTATGTCCATATCCGCTGTCCATCATACCGGCAGCGGCACTTCATAATATTGTTTGTGTAATCTGATTCTGCAACTTCATAGTTGGGGTTTATCACAACCTGCACGAAGAACAAAAACTAACATTTCAAATAAAGTGTTTCTCAATACAATAACTCGTTTTTTACTAACTACTAAGGACCAAATAATACAGGTTTAGTGATTGGCAGCAGACTAAGAGGGTGACCTAAAGGACTGATGCTCTTAAAGTTTAATTGTAACTGCTGCTTCTGAAAGATGATTGTTTTTCTTTGAGTGAGGCTGGAGTTTGTTTCACAATGTAAAGACTGTAAATGTAGTTTCTTAAGCAGCTACAGTGCCCACCAGCAACCACTGCTCCCTGGTCTTTAAGGCTATATAATGGTATACCTGGGCTGAACGCCAAACACAAATATGACGTAGAATGAGTTGTAAGTGTAGGACTACACCAACTGGATGTGTGTCGTATCCACTATGGCTAAGACTAACCCGCAAGATGTAGTCACCGGGCTTCACATCTGTGATGTCAATCCACTGACAGTCAATGTCATGTCTGTAGGTATCCCAGCAACCCACTGTGATGCCCTGTGCTCCAAAGTTTACACATTCATATGTCTTCTGGATACCTGTTGGCATTTGGAGCAGTTTAGTGTTTGTATTAAAACATTGAGATGATTTTGTTTTCATCAAATCAAAGATCAAAATCATTCAGCTACACAGTCTTATTATCAACCATTCAAATTTTGATTTTAATTTTATCATAGTGTTGCTGCATTATATTCTTAGGAAAGAAAATCTTGTTAAGCCAGAACTTTATAGACTAATTCTGCGCAAAGCCACAGTATAAAATGAAAGTGGACAGGCAGGTGGCTCTATTTACCTTCATCACAGTGGGTGTCCTCCAGACAGAAGCTGGCTTTGTGTCCCTCTGCCACTTTGGTGCCATTCAGGCTCAGCAGGTCATAGTGTGTGAAAACCTCCATACTGTGGTAATGCCTAGAAAAGAAAAAGGCAAAAATCAGTTTTGGGGAAGTTACTTTGGAGGAATAGTTTTGCAAGCTATTATAGCACCTGGGCAGTCTCACTGTCCTTATGCAATAGGCAGCCCGACACTGAAAATGTCCTTGCCAATCCTGAAAACCCACTCACATGCAGCATTTTAAAAATATTCTTTTTGGGCTTTTTATTTGTAGTTTCAAGAGTTACTTGAATCACTATGCAAATATGAATGTACTATAGTTGAACTACCAACAAATGTAGTGAAACTATTTTATTTACATGTAGTTCACTATTCCCCAACACAGAAAATAATAAATGTATGTTGAAACTGCCCATATATGCTTACTTTTAGTTACCCCACAGCAGCACAACACAAA